GTCAGGTTATTCAATTTCCTTAATAAACACAACATATTAAGTTTAAGATAATATGGTTTTCTCAAGAAGAAAGACATATATAACGCCGTAGTTTTACTTAGTAAATTTATCTATGTAAACTTAAGACTTAGCCTACTTTTTTAGACTACACACAAGCTTTTGATACAACCTATCTTTATAACAAGTTATCTGAAAGATATACTCCAAGTTGTAAGCGTATTAAAAGTCAGCAAGTTAAAACAAATGTTGGTGTGCCTCAGGGCTCAATACTTGGACCAATATTGTTCGTCTTATATATAAATGATTTATTGGTTTTGCAAGATACCTTAATAGCATAAGCGGATGATACTGCAGTAACAATTAAAGCAAAATCATGGCTGGATATTATATACTCCTGGCTCTATCGAAATAAATTAATACTCAACAGAGACAAGTACAAGTCTCTTTTGTCCACCGGACTTTGAAATCAATATTAACGGGGCGAGTCTGAAAAGAGTTAAAAGTAGTAAATATCTACGAACTTATGATTATAACACTAAATGGGATGTTGACGTGGCGAAACGAATACTTAGTATATGTTTTTTATGGTCTTAAGGAAATACTTTCAATTTGTTAAATTATAATAGTAGATTATTCAACAAAAAATCACAATTTAACAACTTAAAAATAATTATCGGATTACAAAATTTCGTATCATTCAAACAAAATATTTACTAGTTGCCAATAAACCTATTTGTTTATCGTTCCGGTCGGTTCTGCTATTGTTGTCTCTTTAACTGTGTACCTTAGCGAGAGAATTATTGGATATGTCATAGAAACAACGGAATAAACACAATTTTAAAATGTTATGTTGTTTATTTAACTTTTACAATTGAACACTAAGTAGTTCAATTAAAGAAAAAGACTAATTGGAAGAAAAATCATCCAAGGATATATGTGAAATTTTTTAGAAAAAGCATATCTTAACCTTCAACTTTGTTTTGTTTGTACTGATGAGACATATTTGAAAATCGTACAATTGGTCTTGGCAAGATATTAATATAAAAACTGTAAAAAAGCAATAAGTTCATATGAACGGTAAGTAAAGGTGCACTAGATTTTAATTGTATCTTGTAGCACGTAGTATTTAAGTTGTCTGATATATTGGTTAACATTTTTCTGTGCATTAGTTTTTGGGTACATTTTTGCAAAACAACGAATACATTCACTGACACGACCGTCAGAACTGACAAACGTCAAAATTCAAACTGTTATTTTAGGGCCAACTTATGTATAGATCAGTATTTGAAGTAAGTTCTTTATTGTAAAAATATTTTTTTATATATTATTATTTCGTTAAACTTTGCCATAAAATAATAAATGGTTGTACGAAATGCCTTTTTTTATGCGACAACGTTACAGCTAATAAACCGCTACGCTAGTGTGTGCGTCTCGTACCATGTGAGTTATCTCACTAGCGAAGATCCAAGAATGCTGACCCAGCAGAGTCCTATTTCTACATATAAAAACGTAGTTTAACGGTGTCGACAACAGTTCTGTCTAGGTATGTTATTGTAACAGACCATTTTAAACGGTTGTAAATTTAAATAAAGTTTTTCAAAAAGGCAACGGTCGTCCCGAGTAGTTAATTCGTGTGCTTTTTTTCTATTTTTTATGAGAAAAGTAAATTTTTGTAAATGTGTCATTTGATGTGCATGTAAACAACTCGAAAAAGTGTTTCATACTTGGATGTACTTTTTTTCTTGTTCTGCGTATTTGTGCATAGTATTATCTGTTGCAGATTCCCAAAAAAAGGATGTGCTAAAAGTGTACCAAATTTGTTTAATTTAACTATATATACATTTTTACATTATAATTGCACACGCAATGGTTTATTGTTTTCCACGCGAAATATTTTCTCCCACCTTACGTGGCAACCATGACGTCACATTTCTCGCCTCACTCGTCCCTGGCTTATATGTGCATCACAATAATAGCAAATTTTATGAATGACTTATGTGGTCTCTTGGTTGAACGTCTGTGATTATTACCATATTATTTCTCTCAGCGTATCATCGCGCGCACTTTCATGTGGCGGACGTCCATTTACGTCCACTTAAAATAGTTTTCAGCGAAAAAAAAAAAGTGATTGCGATAAAACTTGCGCGAATCAAAACAAAAACAAACTGTGGATTTTTTTAAAGGATACGCAGAAGCGAGACGCGGGACGATGATGATAATTGTGGCCGATACGAGATCGTAGAAACGCGATAACCGGTTTTCAAATAAATTATAAAATTTGTTGAGTTCGGACCGGGTTTTTTTCTCCCGATTTCGTTTGCCTCTTGAATTCGCCTTGGCCCGCTTTTTTTGACGAACGTACGACTCGACCTTATCGGAGCTCCGCAAATTTTCTTCGCCTTTTTTTTTTTGAGTGTGGTCCAATCACACGCGGCTATATAATTAAATGTGGGCGTTTGTTCTTGAGCTTCGTCATCAAAACTTTTACCTACTATCAATTATATATCTGAAGTATAGCGATGGGCCATGTTTTCTTTTTTGTCACACAAATAATAATGGCACTGGTATAATACGACCAAAAATATAGTGCATTTACTGCTTTGACTTTTATGTATGTGCGGGACCGTGGTAAAACCATCCCAACAGATGTTTATTCTTGCCTGAGATGGACTGGGAAACTTGACATTTTTATTGATGCTGAGGAGTATTTTCGAATAAGTAGAAGCGTTTATTTTAACCTCAGATCTCAGATCTTAAGAGTTTAATCCAAATTGCAATATGTTCGTATATATTACGGAGGTATTTGATTATGATCCTTCAAGTAAGTAGGTATTTGTGTACTTGACCTTTGACCCTGTGAGGCTGTTTTCATTGGATAGTTCAAAGGGTAAGGGTCAGTACCTGTACGTATTTATCTTACAGATAAGTTTCTTTAGTCTTGTGTGCCTGTCGATTAGCAAACATTCTTCTTCTTCTTGTAGTTTTGTGTCTTCTATATAGTTCTTCGATTTGTAAACAACAACAGTCTTTTTTAAGACTAGATTATATTCGATTATATTAAGACTAGATTATATTCGATTATATTAAAATGTGGAGACCGTGGAATGAAGCAGATGTTTCTCTGTTAGAAGAAGACATGGAAAACAACGTAGAATTTGAAGACAAAGTGAATATTAGAAGACGAACTACCTAGGAAAATAAAAAAACGGATCCATTTTTCTTCGGATGCTAAGAGAAAAACTCCGAATACTTCTTCAAATAAAGAAGAAATTAAAGAATTTCTGTACGAAAATTATTTATATTTTGAAGAGAGCTACACGAAAAAGCAACTCCTGGAATTATTAAAAAAAAACATTTTATTTAAGATTACAAAATCGATTCAGTGTCAGTATCATTGAATATTTAACCCGATGGAGATGATTTGGTCTGAGTTGAAAGCGTATGTATATAAGAAATAACACTGGACCAAAATTTAATGATAGTACCATAAATGTAATTCGGCGACAGGTAGCTAAAATATCAGTACAAAGCTGGCCTAGCTGTGAAAAACGAGCAACAAAAGAAGAAAATATTTATCGAGAACGATTAGTGGCGGAGTTGATCAGTGAACTAGGTGACGACAGTAGCGATAATGACGATTTTTGAAGGGTCTGCTCGGCAGGGTGTCCTATAAGGGACTGCGGTTTTGGAGCAATAAACAGTAGGCAAAGTTAATCACGGGGTTGGTTGTAAAATTACTATATTTCTGGTCCGCCTATAATAATAAATATTATTTCTACGTACTTTTGGCGTTTGTAAATTAAGTTGTTCTAGATGGTTGCCCTTCCAAGGCTTATTGTCGGTCATTGTTCCATTTATTCGATATTATATGTAATTTTTATAGTAACAATAAATATATTTTCAATTATTTATTCATAATTTAATTATTTTTAATACACTTTGGTTGCAGTCTTCGAGAAAACTCACACGGTGGACAAATGCTTTTTTGGATATTAAACTTACGCGTTAATTATTACTAAATGTCCTTGGTCAGTGACGGTTTAATTAAACTGATTATTGCGTCACGTATATTATGCCGTTAGTTTAAATTCGCAGTACAGTTAATTCCATTTTATACCGGGCGTCGGACGTTGTCACGTTGCTATGTGAAATTTAGGACCATATTGTTTGCCGTTTTTAGATCCTCGGAAAATTACATATACATATTTAATATGGTCCCATTGCCTGGCAGTTTTTGAAAAAAAAAAATCTCATGACATAGGTGGTTCGGTTTAAAATAAAGACAGGGTCAGTGATTGAGAATAATTGTTTCAGGCGTGGGACACCCTGTATATGTATTTTTGCTGTTCATGTGTGTGTTCATCACATTTTTAAAAATTTCTTATGCAGGCTGTTTCAAATTTCAATTCAAAGATTTTTATTAGGCAAAAATAAGGCTGTTTTTTAATATAAACGTATGTCCTAACTTGGTTCGTTTCCGATATACGGGGTGCGTCAAACTTATAGAAACAAATATTTTTTAATTTACTTTCTTAATTTAATTTATTTTAATAATTCGTAAGCAATTCAAAATTAATGTTTTTTGTTTTCTACTTTTTCGCGTTCATCACATTTTAAAAATTTTCTTATGCAGATTGTTTGAAATTTCAATGCAAAGATTTTTATTAGGCAAAAATGAGGCTGTTTTTTAATATAAACGTATGTCTCGATATACGAGGTGCGACAAACTTATAGAAAAAGTGATTTTTTTAATTTAGTTTCTAAATTTTATTTATTTTAATCATTTGTAAGCAATGCAAAATTAATGTTTTTTTGTTTTTTCCTTTTTCGTGTCTAGCTTAGTTAAAAAAAAAAGACAATCGCAAGCACCAAGCGCAACGGTTTTTCATTTTTATCTTCAAGAATAAGATTATATATATATATATATATATATATATATATATATATATATATATATATATATATAATATAAAAAAACTGGACTGGAAATAAGACAAAAGGACGAGACCAAAACCTAACGAAAACTGCTATCATGATTAATTGAAATGAGTTGTTATTCTTTTCTTCTTTTCTCCGGTTTAGCCTGAAAAAACAATTCATCTATACCGCGAATTTTTGTTTGGTCACACCCGCGGTGTCGTACAGTTCGCGAGAAGCTCTTCTTTTAGTCGCGGTTTCTTAGTACGACGAGAACCGAAAATAAAACGCTGAAAGCGAACGGCTATTTATAAAACTCTTGGGAAAATCGAATTAACACTCTTTGAAGTGACATTTTAGACATTTCAGAATCGCCTACGCGCACCGTTCACACGGGGTTATTTCTCTTCTAAATCGTATATATCCTCCGTCCTTGCCGTGTGATTTTTTTTATCCACTTTCACCGTTTTGCATGATATTATTTTCAAAGACCGTTGTTCGTTTCGCCGCCTCCCCCCCCAACACGCTCGAACCGTACGTTTCTACGTTTCCCGATAAGCGGGTTATTTCTCACATTACGACCTAGTTTTACAACTTAAATATACAAAAGCGCGGGACGATGTACATATGGTACTATTAGGGACGGACCTTCAAATGTTTTGGTAATAATATTTTCTTTTGAATCTCCATGACTTCCAATAAATTTAAGTTTCTACTTTTTGTGGGTGTATGTAAAATATCAAAATTGTCGTCAAGAATGTGTTTTTCTGTATTTAAATGTGTAGCATGATTAGAATATTGTGTTTTTAGACGCTCTTTTATGTTCCTTAATGCGTTTCATGAAGGATCTACCTGTTTGTCCAATATACAACAGTTCAGTGAAAACTTGTCGTTTAATTGTTTACCTTTTATATCAAATATTTTGGTAAGTTTTGCATAAAGTTTATGTTCTCTACATTGGATTTAAGTATTTGATGTGTAGTTTGAGTTTTTTTTTAAGTAGAGTCAATAAATATTAAATAAAAGTTTGAAAGTTGTTTTAAAATTAATTTTATGTGATTTTAGGTTACAAAATGCCACGGATTTGTAAAAATTCCTCAGATTGTTTTCGCTACATTTGTGGGGAATACATACTAAAAACACAGCGACATGTCATGACCGATCTGGTTAAAACTGCTTATAAGCTATATTTTTTACTGTAAAACTCAAGCCGCCACATTTTTTTATTTCCTTATAATACTTTAATAATATAGTTTTTTGATGAAATAAATATTAAATTAAAAATTTACGTGTAGTACTTATTTGTATATCAGATTCCGTGTTTAGAGCATAAAATAAGATGAATTCATGCATGAAAACAAGAAGGAGAGAAAAAAAAATTTTTTCCAGACCAGTGTAATCAAACCTTCCTTAGAGATGTAAATCTGTCCATTAAATTCAAAATAATTTTGGTCTATTCAGCAATCTAATACATCTTGTTTCACCAATGGTTAACCCCTTTCCCGAGTGATGGTGAAATCTACTAAATGTATCACCTCCATAGGTGAAATACTGGGAAATAAGTTTTGTACATCAAAAGACAATAGTGTTGCGTTAGATTGCGTTAGCGTTTGATATCTTTAATGTTGTTGGTTAATTCAATAGAATTTTTTATTGCAAATTTTGGTTTAAAATTTGTGTGGAATTTTAAAATATTTACTAATTTTGTTGAGAGTTTGCTTGCCGTTACATAAACGACTGGTCTAATAGGCATATCTTGTTTATGTAATTTAACTAAAGAATATAATTTCGGCGGTTGTGGATTCATAATTGTTAAAAAGCTAGTATTTACTTCCTTGACTTGTCGTGTAATTCGGTAGGATCGTGTTTGATACATTGGAAAAGTCCTGGTTTAAGAAAATTGTTGGTTTTTGAAATATATTCTGGGAGATCGATAGCTATGACTGTCTTCCCTTTATCTACACGTGTAAATATTATGCTATTTTCAGAAGCTGTTTTTTTTATAGATTTTACTAGTAACATTTGACAAATTTCTTGGTGTTTGTTGCTATCTATAAATTGAGAATTTATTATATTCCCTAATAAAATTCCCTAATTAAATTAGAACCGTTAATGTCCTTAATTGCTAATTCACAGCCGCTCCCTAAACAGTCTAATTCTCTATTAATGTTCGAGTGGTGTAAGTTAAAGTTGAAACCTTTTTCCAGAAATTTATGTCTGTAAAGTTTATGAACCTGTTGTAAAATTAGTTAAATTAGTTCGCTTTTTTTTTCATTCAACTCACGCAGTGGATCGATTTTCTCCAGCATTTTATTAATTCGAATACGACCTGTAATTCTTATTTCACACATTTTTTAATTTTATGAAATCGCTGGGCATTGTTATATGAATGTCCAGGACTATGATGTATTGAAAATAACGGAAGTTTCGTGGAAATTAGTGTTAGATGATCCGAGATCTAAATATGCGTTTTTACAACTAAAACCACAGTTATCATCCATTTTATTACTTACAAAATTTCAAGTTAACTAATAATCGACGTTATTTCTTCCACCTGCGAAAACAAACTACCAGGCTTAACACCATAACCGCCAAATATGGACGCTCTGGACGCCAAAGTACGTCAATAACTGATAAAAGTGTTGAAAAATCGTCGCATTACTACTAAAGAAATGTCTGACGACGAAGTTTTGGGCATGAAACGTGTAGCAGCAGAATGTGTTCCCTAATTTTGAACAAAAGGCGTCCTGATGTGTTCAAAAGGTAATAACTTCTGACGAATCATGGGTATATGGTTATGACGTCGAAACCAAAGGCCAGTCGTCAGAACGGAAGAACCCAGAATCGCCAAGATCAAAAAAAGAACCTCAAGTTCGTAAGGTCAATAAAGTTGAAGTTATGCGTCGTTTGCGAGAGGCAATACGAAGTAAACGTTCGGAATTGTGAGAAAATAATCATGTCTCAGCCATCATATTCATCGGATACGGCCCCCCTAAAACTCAAGTAACCCATGAATGGAAGGAGGTTTGGAACGATTGAGGAGATAAAGAAAAAATCGTTAGAAGAACCCAATGCCATACCAGAAGTGCTTCGAGGACTGAAGAAAACGTAACCACAAATGTATTATATCTGTGGAAAATTTTGATGAATAAATAAATACTTATTGATAAAATTTAAAAGTCACCTTTTTGAACAGACCTCGTATATATAGGGTGCCCGCTTAAGCTAGGCAAGCTGATATGCATTTCGGGCGTATTGTAATAGTTTTTTTTATTGTTCTCACTAAGTCGGGAACTTTTTGAGACGCTTAAACGCCTTTTCGCTTTTTTTTTCTTTTCGTTAAAATTACACGATTTAATGTGGAGCTTCGATACCGAAATCGCTTGGGTGTACGTATACGCTTGCACTATTAACCAGATACAGCTAGCGCATCATCGGTATGGTTTGTTGACGTTCAAGCCGTTCAACTGGAGCGTTTAAAATTTTCGTCGTTCCCGTTATAAATAAACAGATTGTTAATCGGGAATGAGTAAACCAGATGACACCGTTATTATTTGATTCGCGTGCGGAAAAAATGAGGAATTCGTGTAAGGAGATAAACAATCGGGTTATAAATATGCGGTGCCATATTTTGGAAATTACGCGTCCAAATGCCTGCATGTTATTGAACTATTTCGAGAAACTTTGCTGCTTACTTCTCAGGGATGTAACAGGCATAGCGCTTTCGCAGGTTTTGTCATGAGTGCATATATTGGGCCGGGAGTGCACCCTGCAAGGATATTTTGTCATCTTAGTAGGGCGTTTGACCGTATGAATCACGAAATTCTTTTGAATAGGATGGAACAATTCGTGGAACAGCTCTGGACTGGTTTAGAGCGTTCTTAAGAAATCGTAGGCAGTATGTGGAAATAAGGCAGGAAAAAGGGCTCTTCTGAATGTCCAAAAAAGAAGTTTTTATAATTTAAAGGACTATTTTACTTATTAATATTTGTTATCACTGTATTGTTGTTCTCTGTCACATATTTTTAATATATAGTTTTTTCTTAAACAGGGTGTCATTTAAGGTAGCGCCCCCTACAAGTCAGAGCTAAATTAGGAGCAAATTTAAATTTACCACGTCAAAAAACCTCCAGGTACCAATTTTGGCACAGAAAAAACAAAAATAAGACTTTGACACACGTTTAAGTAGTAACTTTTTACCTTGGAAATGAATCCCTATATATCACTGAGAATGAAATCTAATAGTGAAGAAAAAAGGCATACACTTTAATTGATCTGTAATAAATTGAAATAATAAATTAATTAAAAGGAATGTCTTCTATTTGGTTTAATTTCCGCTACCGAATGGTTATCATCTCCGGAGACTACTTTTCGAATTTCCATCATGATTCTTTAAAAAAGATAAATGAAAACGTTCTTTACGATATCTGGATCCGATCATATGCTTCCATCATGACGTCACAGTCGATATAACCTCACTTGTTTTGTTATCAAACTTTTGAGTTGGCGAGTTACTGTACAACAAAGACTAGGTTGTCTCCTGTAATTTAATATGAGGCAGTAAATCTACAAAATTACAAATGAGAAATTTGTTCAGAATAGAATGTAAATGTTTTGAATAAACAACTTTTAACTTAGGGTGTTAAAAAGTGTGAAAATGTTAATATATAATTAATACAATAATTTGGCAGTATGAAAAATGAAGGAGCTGTTTTCAAATATTTCACAAGATAGAACAAGGAAACTAAATGCAACTTTTGCATGAAAGTTTATGCACTCCGTGCCAGCAGAATGACAAAACGTTTACCCATGCTATAAATGCCCGGACAATGTCAAAAACGTCCTCCTGTCATTAATACAAGAAATATCACAAAAACGTGGGAGTGCTTGCAGGAAAGCTATTGAGATCTTCCGACTTCTTATTAGGGCTCAACTTAATATAAGGATAAACTCTGTTAAGTCCATATTAGATTAGATTAGATTAGATTAACAGTTGGCAGAGCTAGCAGTCAGCCTGTCCGTCACTGCGACCCAGAGGATCTATTGTGACTCTCTCCATAGCTATAGGGCTTTATCCAGGTTCGTCTCTCTAACCAGACTCCACAACTTCGATAATGGCTCCCTCGTATAGCTCTCTGCCTCTGGTTTGGTATCACTCGCCCAGTAGATGGAAACGCACTCTCGCTAGGTCTTCGCAGTGTCACAGTACGTGTGCGGCTGCTTCCTCTTCTTCCTGACAGAATTTACATTCTGTGTTTTCTTCCACTTCCATCAGGCTTAGATGCCTTTTAAACCTGCAGTGGCCCATCAGCAGATAAGTCCATATGAACAACAATGAAATAAAAAGCAGTGCTAGGAGCATCTTTCCAGAAAATTCAGCAAGAGAAACTCAAAACTAATAACAGAAAGTCCCTAAAATTACCTGCTACCACTAGATCCGCATATGGTCGTGTGTCTCCTGAAAGGAAACAAATGTGTGCTGCAGACTTAACATTCTTGATGATATATTTTGGATTAAAAAAACTGCAATTCCACGATGCTACAAATGAGTAACATAGTCGAAGCATTAAAAGAAATAAAATACTGTTTTGAAACCAAATTCAGCTCTTCTGATGAATGAAGAAAAAAAAGGATGGATGCCCTAGACCCATACATTCTGAAGCAAATGTTTTGGACCCTCACTATAAGGGCAAACACCTAAATGCCACCGAATGAAATAGTGGGCCCCAGTATATTCACAAATATTTCTTCCACTGCATATCGGAAATTGATGTTGATGAAATTCTCAAAAACATTGTCCAATATCGCGCTGAAGACGGATTTTTTGCCAAGATTTCAATGAAAAACCCAAAACTAGCGGCAACAAAATTTGGCAGTGGGATATGCACATGTACTGGCAAAAAACGCAGAAATCGATTGACGACAATTGAGCTTGCTGGAATATTAATATACGTTCGCAATAATTTAAATCTACTCGATGATAATTTAAGGGTAATGATAAATGCAAGCGGGATCAGAAGAAGATTCTGGTGAATGGAAGTGATTACGAAACTATCTGAGAGTGGGAATACTTGCATATTTCATTTAGAAACCACGAGTTTAAGTTTCTTATGTTCCTGTTCATGCCAGTTATAAGATAAGAGTTTTTTGTATAAATAAATGATCCTTACGTGACATAAGTGACTAGTAAATGACTGTCATTTTACAGCACTGTGTATAGCGTCTATAGCGCCACATTGCTATTATTAAGGTTGTCAAAAACTAAATAAACGCGAATATAACAGAAAGGAATCTAATGAAAGGTATGAGTAGTAAAGTAAAAAAGAAAATCAACTCTCATATCCCGCGATAGGTCTGCAAAT